GGATGGGATGGGGGAGTGTGTTGGGGATTAGGGATGGAATGGGGGAGTGTGTTGGTAATTAGGGATGGGATCAGGGAGTGTGTTGGAGTGAGGGATGGGATAGGGGTGTGCTGGGAATTAGGTATGGAATAGGGATGAGCGTTAGCGATGAGGGATTGAATAGAGGAGTGTTTTGGGGATTAGGGATGGGATGGGGGTGTGTGTTGGGGATTGGCTATAGTGTGGGTGTATATGTATGGGGCCTTAGTTATGAGATTGAGTAGGTTTGTGAGTTAAGTTTTAATTGTGAGAATGAGAGGTGTAGGATTACAATGTAGCACATTAGACGTGCAAATATTATAACATAATCAGATACATTTATAAACAAGTGAAGTAGTTGGCAAGCGGGTGGCTGTTTCTCTGCAACCTAACAGAAATCCACGAGGCAGACATTCACAATGTAGGCAGTGAAATTCCACTTCACAGAAAAAAAAACAAAGAATTCTGGAAATCTGAAACAGAAGCTGGAAAAACTCAGCAGGTCTCTGCGGAGAGAGAAAGCAGAGTTAACGTTCTTAAGCAGGGTATCTGGACCCGTGATGTTCACTCTGCTTCTCTCTCTCCACAGATGCTGCCAAACAGATGCTGAGTTTTCCCAACAATTTCTGTTTTTGTTTGAAATTCCACTTCAGTTGGCTCCGATATTTTCCAAGCCCAAATCTCAAATCTTAAAAGATTAGGCAAAAATGGCAGCAGCAGAAAAAGGGGCAAGCATTTGTTAAGTGGTTAATACAGCAACTCTGTGTAACATGTGAGTAAATATAAAATAAAGTGTCATTTTCATAGCTACCATCAATTCTGAGGAAGGGTCGCCGGACCCAAAACATTAACTCTGATTTTTTCTTCACATATGCTGCCAGACTTGCTGAGCTTTTCCAGCAACTTCTGTTTTCTGATTTACAGCAGCCACAATTCTTTTGGTTTTTACGCAGAAACTGTGGGGTTTATTTATGTCTTTTTTCACTAAGGTTACTGTTTCTTGCCAGAGCTAGTTTCCAGGACCGCTTCAATATCCAGCAGTAAAGGTTCTACGTGGCAGGCTGGACAGCTGTTTCAGTTAACTATGCTTTTGTCTCTGTTCTACAGATATGATAAAGTAAAACAAACTTTCCCAGTGCCAGAACTGTGAACTCGAGCCTTGAATAAAATCATCCCAGTGGAAAACTGTGAACTCCAGGTCTGAAATAAAATCACCCCAGTGTCAGAGTGTGAACTCCAGACCTGAATAAAATTACCCCACTGCCAGACTGTGAACTCCAGCCTTGGATAAAATCATCCCAGTGGAAAACTGTGAACTCCAGACTTGAATAAAATCACCCCAGTGTCAGTGTGAACTGCAGACCTGAATAAAATCACCCCAGCACCAGACTGTGAACTTCAGATCTGAATGAAATCGTCCATGTGGCAGACTGTGAACTCCAGACCTGAATAAAAATACCCCAGTGCCAGAGTGTGGACTCCTACCTGAATAAAACCAACCAGAGCCATCCCTCCATTGAATTTCCAAAGTGTATAAAATCACCCAATCGGAACTTCCAGTCAGCATAAACCAGCCCAGTTGTGGTCTATTTAAAACAAAAACTGTATACATTTGTGCGGAACATCCATCAGCCAGAGCTGTGTGTGCTTTTCTGGGACCATGAGGCTGCGGCGGAAAGGCGATCTTCTCTGTACGTTCCTCCTGCTAACAACATTTTGTATTTTGCTCTACATCCAAATGCGCTCGGACACCCCGTGGCTGGATAAACCCGAGCAACAACAGCAACCCGGAACCAAAAGGTACGCCCTGCTGGGAAGCACCAAGGCAGCAACTCCGCTGGCGTTGACCAGCAGCTCGCCAGGGTCAGAGAGAGTCTGTCAGCCAGGCCAACAGCTAGAGACTGCTCAGGAGCAAAGGCTAACATCACCGCCCTCCAACCTTTTACCCTGGAACTACCGCCAGTACCTCTGGCAAAAGGATTGCCGGGAGTTCCAGCAGATCATTAACCAGGAGAACAAGTGCCGGAAGGTGCGAGGGGAACAGCTGCTACTGATCTCTATCAAGTCCAGGGTGGAGGAGTTTGAGAGGCGCGAAGTCGCTCGGAAAACCTGGGCACGGGAGGGCGATGTCCGCCACCTGCAGGTCCGCAGGCTCTTCCTGCTGGGAATCCCAGCCAACCAGAGCTCCCTAGCTTCCTGGAGCCGCCTGCTGGAGCAGGAGAGCCAGACCTACCAGGACATTCTCCTGTGGGATTTCCAGGACACCTTCTTCAACCTCACGCTGAAGGAGATCCACTTTCTCAAGTGGCTGGATCAGTTCTGCACCTCTGCGGAGTTCGTCTTCAAAGGGGACGACGATGTCTTCGTCAACGTGGAGAACATCGCGGATTTCTTAGCGGACGCCGACCCCAAGGATGACCTGTTCGTGGGCCACATCATCTACCAGGCGCTGCCCATCAGATCCAACAAGAGTAAATACTTTATCCCGGAGATGATGTACGGCCCAGGGGTTTACCCAGTCTACGCGGGAGGTGGGGGCTTCCTCATGTCGGTACACACCGCTAGGAGGCTGTACCAAGCCAGCAAGGAGGTAGATCTCTTCCCCATCGACGATGTCTTTCTGGGGATGTGCTTGCTGCGGATCGGCCTCGAACCCCTGACTCATGAAGGATTCCGAACATTCGGCATCGTCCGGCCCTCAGCCGCACCCCACATGCAGACGTTTGACCCGTGCTTCTACAAGGAGCTGATGGTGGTCCATAGCCTGAAGGTGCCTGAAATCTGGCTGATGTGGAGCCTCCTCCACGACCCGAAGCTGGACTGCGGTCGCAAGGGCTCCATGAAGCGTCCCTTCAGGTGGCGAGTCAAGCGGAAGTCCCCGTCCCCCTCTGTCAGGACATTAAAACACTGACAGAGGACAGAAAGGGAAGCTCTCTCCCGTTACTTGGAGACATGCCCTCAGTTATTACCCTTGGAAATTTGTACTTTGAATGTTTTATAAATATTTCTTTTTTTTAATATTATTATTTAAAGTCACTCATGGCAACAGATACGTGCACCTCCAAAGCACATTAGTGTAAATATCAAACACAACAGATGGGTTAGTCTAAATCCACACACAGCCATTTCTTCCTGACCACCATCAATGGTTTCACTCAGACCTATCGTTTAGCGTCTTAGAGACTGAATCTTTCCGGCGTCCCAAAGCCAGGAACAGTAGGGAGGTGCTGAACATACTGACCCTGGCCAGTACTGGGATGATGTAGCTGGCATCAGCCATTCTTGGGATGGTGAGGTCCTGCAGACCCCAGCCCTGTCCAAACAAAAACAAAACAAGCCAGTTCCTGCTGGCTGCTTACAAAGTGAAAATTTAACCCATCGATGCACACAGGAGGCTATATTGCCCATCCGATCCTTACTAGCTGCCAACAGAACAATTCAGTCATTCCTATTCCCCGACAAACGCCATTGCCCAGAATTTGCCAAAAGTGTCCATCCAATTTCATTTTGAAACTATTCATCCTAACTGTTAGGGGTTTGAAGTTAATCTGCACCATCCTTCCAGGTGGTGAATTCCAGGTCATTATCACTCATTGCTTTGAAAAAGGTTTCTTCTTTATATTATCCTCACATCTCTTTCCCAAAGTATTTAAATCCGTCTCCTCATCCTTTGGCATCAACAAATACTGAGTCAGTGAACCTTCTGTCAAGTCTATTTCTTGCCTCGTGGTTCTGGTTTCTTTCTCCTTTTGCAAATGTTTAATGGGAACACTTTTTCTTTGACTATCTCATCTCAATCCTGTAGGTCATTATTAGATCCCACTCAGCTTCCTTTGAGTCAAAGAGACCAACCCAAGTTTCTCCTGTAGCTAAAATTTCTTATCCCTGGAACTTTCTGGTGAATCTGCCTTTGAACTCAAGACCTCATAATCCCATTTGCTGTTCTAACTTATTTTTAATATGTGCTGGCTCCTTCAGAGATCCATGCACATGAACCTTTGTTTTTGTATTCTGTTTTGATTTGTCCCTCAGTCTAACCCCAGTGCCAAATGCATCATTTCACACTTCTCTATACTAAATACCATCTGTGCCACTTATCTGCCCATTCTGTTCACCTATTCATATCTTGGTAGTCAGTAGGTATCATCCTCACAGATTTGCCACATTGCCAACATTGAAATCATTGGCAAATTTTGAAATTTTACTTTGTATCCTGAAATTCAAGTCATTTATTTATCAGAGAAAACAGTGCTTCAAGTATTTAAGCTAACCATTGCCTACCATCCTCTAGCCTGAAAGGGATTTAACACAACTTGCTACATTCTGTTATCAAGGTTATTATTTTATCCAAGCTGACACTGGCCTATTTCATGAGTTTCAGTTTGGTTAACCAATCTTCTTATGTTGAACTTTGTCAAATGTTTTCTTAAAATCCATAGAGACAGCATGCATTGCATTCACTTCATCAATTTTTTCAGTTACTTCGCTAACATAACTAGCAAACAATCCTGAGTGTGCTAACACCTGCACTAACAGCTTGTTTAAGGAAATCAGTCAAGTTGGTAATGTTTTCTAGGAGTGATATATGTTCATCTACTAGGTCCTGCTCTTTGTAGACAAAAGGAAAATGTTCAAACCTTGCTCATTCTCTGAATTATCTGTGAACTGGGTAGCCAATTGTTCTCTTTTGCATGGGCATGCTTTTCTCCGATAGTACAAATTGCTGTCATTGTTTGAAATTTGGCATTCTTGAGTTTGTCATTATGAGTGCATGGCAAAAAGCTTTGGCAATAAGATTATCGTTCTTACTACTCATCACTGATGTTAAACTGACTGGCTTGTACCAGGAATGTCTTGACACTCTTAAAAACAAGGATGTCACATTTGCTTCTTTCCAATCCTCTAGCACCTCCGTCTTTCTCAGGAAAATCGGAAGTTTATGGTGAGCACTGTTTGAGCATTCTAGCCTAAGCCTGTGCCTCTAAGCGTATATCATCTAGTCTGTTTTTTGTTTGCAAGAATTCTCTGATATTTTGTAAATCAGAGTAATTTAGCAGTATGAATTGCAAAAATACATTCCCTACAGTTTTGACAAGACTACAACAGGTCTCACTTTTAGCAATCCAGAGACATGCAGCATCCAGGAGTTTCTGATGTGAGGAATAGGTCTGCGAGTGGAATAAAAATCCCGAACCCCAGCTCCCCTCCTCTCTCCCCTCTCCATCTGCCTCACATTCTGTCTTGTCCCCTCCCCTCCCCCACTGCCTCTCCCTCCATCAATACCAGCCATAACTCACTTGGCAGCATTGTCACCTCTGAATCACAAGATTCCAGATTTAAATCCCACCCCAGTACATAAATCAGGCCTGATACATTTGTTGTGTGATGTACTGTTGGAAGAGCTCTCTTTTTGGATGAGATGTTCAAACCAAGGTCCTAACTACCTACTTGGGTAGACCAAGAAGAGCCCACATCACCGTTCTGAAAAAGAGCAGGGGAACTATCGCTGGGGTCCACATCATTGTTTCTCCCTTACTCAACATCATTGAAGCAGATTATCTAGTCACTGTCATGTTCCTGTTTTGGTTATCACATTTCTTCCATTACAACAGTGACCATACTGCATTGGCTATAAAGCACTTCAACACTCGGTCATCAAAAGCACTACATAAATGCAATTTTATTTCAAATTTTCTATCCGTACTAATGTGACAGGATAGTTAATGGAGTCACCCCATGCTAGGGCCTAGCCAGTATAAATATTAAGAGACTTTAAACTGCTCTAGGCAGTCCCATTGTTGTAAAAATACATTCTCGAAATAACTGAATTTTTATACTTTGTCTCCCCTCAATAAACACCAGTTATAGAATCTGGATTAAATGTAATTCTAATATCTCTTTAATAATTAGATTGTATATTATTAAATACTTTCTCCACGCTGTATCATGTCAAAAGCATTTGCAAGTTCTAAATTTGTGATGGTCAGTAACCTGACTCAGTATGAACCTTTTGACAACAAGTTGACTGATGGGAAAAGCAACTTGTAATATTTGTTTTGTCCAAATGTATTGGCAGCTTGTCTGGAAATTGTTATGATAACAGCATTGTCCTAAATATGGCCGGATAAAACAGAGTTTCATAACTTAAAATTACCTCAATTGCTCACATAACAGTGGATGAGAAATCTCTTCATCTAATTCATCATAAAATTGCTTAAAGCAGGTCAGTTTGCTCTTTTCTTGAAGTTCAAATTCACAAGACCCCATAAACAAATAAATCAGCTTGTCATCAAAGTACCAATCAAAATACAAATATTCTTCCATTTTGGGGAACAATGTACAAACCTGTTTAGGGCTGCTTGTGCTAAGCAGTACCAACTCTTACACAACTCTCAATCAAGAATAGGCAAAGATGCTTACCCGACAGAGTACAATATTGTACTATTAATGCAAACACAAATTTAGTTGCTCCTCTCAGTGATGGAAGGCCAGGGAACGTTGTTGGGAATGTAGGACTTTCCCAGAATTCACAACAGATGTACTGAGAGAAGGTGGAATGCTCAGCTTATAAAGTAAAATAGGGTCTCGGTAGAGGAACCAGCCAGTCACGTTCTCTGCTGTGACCCACTGCTGCTAATATAAATGGCAGGGAGCCACTTAACAATATTCAGTATTTATTTTGGAATGATTTTCAGTACGCATGAGTCATTGCAGATGTTTGCCTTGGATAGTGGCTCCTTCTTCTTCTCCCTCCATTTCACCTTGTTCCCCTCCCTCCTCAGTTCATCAGAGGTCAGAAATCCTACCAAAATTCACTGCTGCAGCCAAATTTTTTGACGCAATTCAAAAAGCTTTCAGAATTGGACTTTGAACAATATGGCCACAGACACATCACCCCTCCACCTCCTCCAAAACTTCCAATTCCCCGGTCCCCGACACCTCATCTTTACCATGGACGTCCAGTCCCTATACACCTACATTCCCCATACAGATGGCCTAAAGGCCCTCCGCTTCTTCCTGTCCCACAGGCCCGACCAGTCCCCCTCCACTGACACCTTCATCCGCTTAGCCGAACTCGTCCTCACCCTCAACAACTTCTCTTTCAATTCCTCCCACTTCCTACAGACAAAGGGGGTGGCCATGAGTACCCGCATGGGCCCAGGCTATGCCTGCCTCTTTGTAGGTTATGTGGAACAATCCCTCTTCCGTACCTACACTGGCCCTAAACCCCACCTCTCCCTCCGTTACATTGATGACTGTATTGGCGTCGCCTCGTGCTCCCACGAGGAGCTTGAACAGTTCATCCACTTCACCAACACCTTCCACCCCAACCTTAAGTTCACCTGGACCATCTCTAACACCTCTCTCACCTTCCTGGACCTCTCTGTCTCCATCTCGGGCAACCACCTAGAAACCGATATCCATTTCAAGCCCACCGACTCCCACAGCTACCTAGAATACACCTCCTCCCACCCACCTTCCTGCAAAAATGCCATTCCCTATTCCCAATTCCTTCGCCTCCGCCGCATCTGCTCCCAGGCTGAGGCATTCCACTCCTGTACATCTCAGATGTCCTCGTTTTTCAAGGACCGCAACGTCCCCCCCTCAGTGGTCGAGAACGCCCTCGACCGTATCTCCCGCATTTCCCGCAACTCATCCCTCACACCCCGTCCCCGCAATAACAACCAAAAAAGAATCCCCCTCGTCCTCACGTACCACCCCACCAACCTCCGGATCCAACGCATCATCCTCCGACACTTCCGCCATCTGCAATCCGACCCCACCACCAAAGATATTTTTCCCTCCCCACCCTTATCTGCTTTCCGGAGGGACCACTCTCTCCATGACTCCCTTGTCCGCTCCACACTCCCCTCCAGCTCCACCACACCCGGCACTTTTCCCTGCAACCGCAGGAAGTGCTACACCTGCCCCCACACCACCTCCCTCACCCCCATCCCAGGCCCCAAGAAGACTTTCCACATCAAGCAGATATTCAGCTGCACATCTGCTAATGTGGTATACTGCATCCGCTGTACCCGTTGTGGCCTCCTCTACATCGGGGAAACCAAGCGGAGGCTTGGGGACCGCTTTGCAGAACACCTACGCTCGGTCCGCAATAAACAACTGCACCTCCCAGTTGCAAAACATTTCAACTCCCCCTCCCATTCCTCAGATGACATGTCCATCCTGGGCCTCCTGCAGTGCCACAACGATGCCACCCGAAGGTTGCAGGAACAGCAACTCATATTCCGCTTGGGAACCCTGCAGCCCAATGGTATCAATGTGGATTTCACAAGCTTCAAAATCTCCCCTCCGCTACCGCATTCCAAAACCAGCCCAGCTCGTCCCCACCTACCTAACCTGTTCTTCCTCCCACCTATCCCCACCTCCCACCTCAAGCCCCACCCCCATCTCCTACCTACTAACCTCATTCCGCCCCCTTGACCTGTCCGTCCTCCCTGGACTGACCTGTCTCCTCCCTAACTCCCCACCTACACTCACCTTTACTGGCTCCATCCCCGCCTCTTTGACCTGTCTGTTTCTTCTCCACCTATCTTCTCCTCTATCCATCTTCTATCCGCCTCCCCCTCTCTCCCTATTTATTTCAGAACCTTCTTCCCCTCCCCCATTTCTGATGAAGGGTCTAGGCCCGAAACGTCAGCCTTCCTGCTCCTATGATGCTGCTTGGCCTGCTGTGTTCATCCAGCTCTACACCTTGTTATCTCAGATTTTCCAGCATCTGCAGTTCCTACTATCTCATCCACCGACAATGGCCAGTTCCAACACATCTAAGTCTCAACATTCTAAGCATTTTAGAGGCAGGTACAAAATGGAAAATTGTTGTAAACAAAAGACATGCTATCAAAACTTTTTATCTTACACTAAGGACAGATGCAAGAATGTAACATTTTAAAGAAGGCAACAATTTATTTTGTGTGAGAACAGAGTACCATTTGGCTGACAAGTCTACTCTGATTGTTTGAGGCATTGCCATGGAGAATGCACCAGGAAACGGTTATCCTTCATGCATTTGTTTAACTCAAAAAAGGCACAATGCCTGTTCATATTTCATTCTCCTGCAGAGGACAGGTCTGTGCAATATGAATATTGGCAGCTTCTAGCAAATGTAAGGGAGTGTAAACTTATCAAACAAGACGTGTTCAAATAGTCACAATAGGCAGGTTGCTAATTGGCTCAATCCACACATTCTGGCAAAATTAAGAAAAAAAGTCGAATGTTATATGTGATTATACACAGCTCGTCACTTACTGAACAATCCCAAGTGCCCCATAAATTACACAAATAACCAATTTAAGATGATTAGTCAGTCTCACAATGTGGCTGAGTTTTGCTTGCTAGAAGCTACATCAATTCATGCTCCTAGTTCTTATGTTCTTATGTTCATGTGCAGAGAGATGACCTCTGTGGGACAAAGGAACACTTCTGGATATTGCCCCTTCTGGATTAAATAAAAGCATGTGGGGACAACAATTCCTTGGTGCATTTTCCATGGCATCACCTCAACCAAGCGGCAGCTTCTTGACAACCAATTTGCAACCTTTTCATTTGCAGTATAAATTATGATTTCATTTGAAATTGACATTCTTGTATCTGTCCTGATGAGTGCAGACAAAAAGCTTTAACAAAATGTCTCTTAGATTCTGTACTACCAAGCAGCTATAACAGAAAAGAGAGAGCCTTATAAATCACAGGATGCCAGTGTGTGCTGCCATGTTAAAGCTCAGAGCATTCAGGGTTCAACCCTGATCAGTGTTGGATTTGTATTAGAAAAGTTAAATATTGTGGATGTTGGAAATCTGAAATAAAAACTGAAAATATTGGAAATACTCAGTGTGTCTGGCAGCATCTATGGAAGGAAGAATTCAATCAACATTTCAAGTCAATCACCTTTCAAACTTAGAGATTTAAATGTTTTAAGCAAGCACAAAGGCAGGAAAAAGCAGGAGGGGAGGAAAGAGCAGAAGTGATGCTTGGGAACACGGGACTGGGATATCATAGCTTTTAGAGAAACATAGCTCAGGGATGGACAGGACTGGCAACTTAATGTTCTGGGGCATAGATGCTATAGAAAGTATAGAAAGGGAAGCAAGAGAGGAGGGCGAGTGGTGCTTTTGGTTAGGGATAACATTAAGGCTGTACGTAGGGAGGATATTCCTGGGAGTACATTCAGGGAAGTTATTTTGGGTGGAGCTGAGAAATAAGAAAGGGATGATCACCTTATTGGGTTTGTACTATAGGTCCCCCAATAGTCATTGGGAAATTGAGAAGCAAATATATAATGAGATCTCAGACATCTGAAATAATAATAGGGTCGTAATGGTAGGGGATTTTAACTTTCCAAACATAGACTGGGATTGTCATAGTATTAAGGGTTTGGCTGGGGAGGAATTTGTTAAGTGTGTACAAGAAAACTTTCTTATTCAATATGTGGATGTACCTATGAGAGAAGGAGCCATTCTTGACCTTCTCTTGGGAAATAAGGCAGGGCAAGTTACTGCGGTGTCAGTGGGGAGCACTTTGGGCCAAGTGATCATAACTCTATTAGTTTTGAAATAGTTATAGAAAGGGATAAAACTGATCAAAAAGTTAAAGTTCTCAAATCGAGTAGTGCTAATTTTGATGGTGTTAGACAGGAATTTTCAAAAGTTAATGGGGGAGGCTACTCAAAGTTAAAGGGACTGTTGGGAAGTGGAAGGCATTTACAAATGAGACAACAAGAGTTCAGAGACAGTATGTCCCTGTTAGTGTGAAAGGCAAGGCTGGTAGGTGTTTGGAAAGCTGGATGACTGGAGAAACTGAGGCTCTGTTCAAGAAAAAGAAGGAAACATA